GCAGCCTCCAACTCCTGGGCTCAAGTGATCCTCCCACCTCAGCCTCTGAAGTAGCTGGGACTGTCGGCTTTACCACCACACTGGATTTGTATTTGAATTTGTTTAAAAAACAGATTTGGTGGCTCAGCCTATAATCCCAGCATTTTGGGAGGCCGAGGCAGGGGGATCACGAGGCCAGGAGTTCGAGACCATCCAGACCAACGTGGTGAAACCCCTGTCTCTACTAAAAATACATAAATTAGCCGGTGTGGTGGCGGGTACCTGTAGTCCCAGCTACTCGGGAGGCTGAAGCAGGAGAATCTCTTGAACCCAGGAAGCAGAGGTTTCCGTGAGCTGAGATCGTGCCACTGCACTCCAGCCTGGGCGACAGAGCAAGACACTGTCTCAAAAAAAAAAAAAAAAGATTTCAGGGGAGTTGCAGCCTGTCCACAGGTCCCACCCACAGAGGTGGAGTTGTCAGGGAGCAGCTTATAGGGAAAAGTGGGGTCCCCAAGCGGCCAGTAGGGGAAAGTGGCCCACAGATAATGCCCACGGAGTCCTGTGGGGGAGCCTGTGAGGGGGTGTGGGTGCACCACGGCCCAGCTGAGACGGTCAAAAAAAGGCCGGCGAGGTGGCTGACGCCTGTGATCCCAGCACTTTGGGAGGCTGAGGGAGGAGGATCACTGGAGCCCAGGAGGTTGAGGCTGCAGTGAGCTGTGATCCAACCACTGTACTCTGTGCGCTGTAGCCTGGGGGACAGAGCAAGACCGTGTCACCAACGGGCAACAAAGAGCAAAAATGATTTTGGGCTCAGTGCAAAAAACTTGTCACAAGAGAGCAGAGATTGGCCGGGCGCGGTGGCTCCCGCCTGTAATCCCAGCACTGTGGGTGGCCACGGTGGGCAGATGACTGGAGGTCAGGAGTTTGAGACCACCCTGACCACCCCCCGCCTCTACTAAAAATACAAAAATTAGCCGGGTGTGGTGGCACACTCCTGTACTCCCAGCTACTTGGGAGGCTGAGGCAGGAGAATCGCTTGAACCCAGGAGGTGGAGGCTGCGGTGAGCCGAGGTCACACCTACTGCACTCCAGCCTGGGCGACAGTGAGACCCTGTCTCAAAAAAAAAACATGGAGTGATTATGCTGCTTGGGGCTGATTCTCTCCTTTTTTTTTTTCTTTGAGACGGAGTTTCGCTCTTGTTACCCAGGCTGGAGTGCAATGGCGCGATCTCGGCTCACCGCAACCTCCGCCTCCTGGGTTCAGGCAATTCTCCTGCCTCAGCCTCCGGAGTAGCTGGGATTACAGGCACGCGCCACCGTGCCCAGCTCATTTTTGTATTTTTAGTAGAGATGGGGTTTCCCCGTGTTGGCCAGGCTAGTCTCAAAGTCCTGACCTCAGGTGATCCGCTGTCCACCTGCCTCGGCCCCCCAAAGTGCTGGGATTAGAAGCGTGAGCCACCACACCCCGCCTTTTTCTTTTTTTTCCTGAGGCAGGATCTCACTCTGTTGCCCAGGCTGAGTGCAGTGGTGTAATCTCAGCTCACGGCAACTTCCTGGGCTCAAACAATCCTCCTACCTCAGCCCCCCACGTAGCTGAGACCATAGGCATGTACCACCAGACCCAGATAATTTTTAAATTTTTTGTACAGGCTGGGTGAAGTGGGTCACACCTGTAATTCTGGCACTTCGGGGGGCCTAGGCAGGCAGATCACTTTCGCCAAGTGTGGTGGCTCATGCCTGTAATCCCAGCACTTTGGGAGGCCGAGGCGGGTGGATCACGAGATCAGGAGATCGAGACCATCCCGGTCAACATGGTGAAACCCCGTCTCTACTAAAAATACAAAAATTAGCTGGGCACGGTGGCGCGTGCCTGTAGTCCCAGCTACTCGGGAGGCTGAGGCGGGAGAATTGCCTGAACCCAGGAGGCGGAGGTTGCGGTGAGCCGAGATCGCGCCATTGCACTCCAGCCTGGGTAACAAGAGCGAAACTCCGTCTCAAAAAAAAAAAAAAAAAAGTTTGTTGAGCCAGGGTCTTGCTTTGTTGCCTGGGCTGGTCTGAAAACTGCTGGGCTCAAGCCCTCCTCCTGCCACGGCCTCCCGAAGTTCCGGGGTCACAGGAGGGAGCCACCCTGTCCAGCCCCCACCCCATCTGTCCGTCTCCCACTCTGAGCATGGCAACACCGCACCAGGCTGCAGAAAGGCCTGGCACTCAGAGAGGGCAGGCGGGTGCTCCCGCAAAGGCGAGGGCTCCTAGGTACATTGCTGGGGGGCGCTAGGTCAAATACCAGCCGCAGGGGAGGAATCTGTGCTGTAGAGAAGCAGGGACAGAGCCTGTGACTGGAAGCCAGGGCGGGGAGGGCCGGCCAGCCCAACAGTGAGCACTTCCTGCTGGAGCTCCGTTCCACCGGCAGGGGGTCAGACATAAGGTGTCTGTCTTTCTCGGTTTGTTTGTTTTGAGACCCAGTCTCCTCCTCGCTCGGTCACTCTGTCCCCCAGGCTGGAGTGCAGCGGGGAGATAGCAGCTCACCGCAACCTCCGCCTCCCAGGTTCAAGTGATTCTCCTGCCTCAGCCTCTTGAGTAGCGGGGATTATAGGCGTGCGCCACCACACCTGGCTAATTTCGTATTTTGAGTAGAGATGAAGGTTTCACGATATTGGCCAGGCTGCTCACGAACTCCTGACCACACGCGATCTGCCCACCTCGGCCTCCCAAAGTGCTGGGATTACGGGCGCGAGCCACCGCGTCCAGCCTACGGTGCAGCTGGCCAGGCACAGCGTTGCACACCTGTGGTCCCAGCTACTCCAGGCTGAGGCAGTGAGCTCTGCGGATCCAGGTTCACATAATGTGGTGACGTCCCTGGACCTGGCAGGACCACCAGGTTGCCTAAGGAGGGATGATCTGATCCAGGTCAGAAACCAAGTGGGGCAAAACTCCCATGCTGCTCCGACCTGGGATCGCACCTGTGAATGGCCACTGCACCCAGCTGGGAAACAGCGAGACCCTATGGCTAAAAGAAAAATAAAAAGATTGGCCGGGCGCGGTCACTCACACCTGTAATCCCAGCACTTTGGGAGGCCGAGGCGGGTGGATCACGAGGTCAAGAGATCGAGACCATCCTGGTTAAGATGGTGAAACCCCGTCTCTACTAAAAATACAAAAAACTAGCTGGGCATGGTGGCGCCTGCCTGTAATCCCAGCTACTCGGGAGGCTGAGGCAGGAGAATTGCCTGAACCCAGAAGGCGGAGGTTGCGGTGACCTGAGATCATGCCATTGCACTCCAGCCTGGGCAACAAGAGCTAAACTCTATCTCAAAAAAAAAGAAAAAGAGAAAAAGAAAAGGGGAGGGGAGGGGAAGGGAGAGGAGGGCAAAGGAGGGGAGGGGAAGGGAGGGGAGGGGAGGGGGAGAAAGGGAGGAAGGGAAGGAGGGAGAAAGAGAAAATAAAATAAAAAATGAAAAAGATGGAAAAACAATTCCCAGCATGGGGTGCACAAAAGAGAAGTCCAGGACCCCAGGAGGGGAAGTGGGGCTGGGCACAGACTGGGGTCAGGAGAGAGATTTTGGGTGCGGAAGGGCTCCAGGCAGGAGGATCCTGACGGTGCCTGCCTGGAAGATGTGAGCAGAGAAGCCACCAGAAACGAAGGGCCCAATAGTGGGTGGCTGTGGCTAGGGGACGAGATGAATGGCTGAGGGGGACCCAGGGTGGGTGAGGCTGGTGGAGGGGACAGAGGGGAAGCTGCTAGGCAAAGGGGCAGGCTGTCCTCCTCCCGCCCAGACAGTCCTGCCTTGGGTCTAGTTTGCACAGCTAGTCAGGGACGGGTCTGGAAGAAGACTGGGGCAGGTAGACCCAGGCAGGTAGACTGATCACAGGAAAATCCCACAGGAGCAAGGAAGGCACTGAAGGGGGTCTGGAGGAAGAGCCGCTGGAAGAGGGAGGCTTTAGAGGTGGACAGCGCCAGGTTTCGGGGCCAGGCACCCCAGGAGAGGGTGGGGGTGCACATGGAGGCTTCCGGCTGGTGTGAAACTGCCCATGCCAGGGAAGCACCACTGAGGTACAGAGGTCTCTGGCTGGGGGCACAGAGACTGGATCTATGTCCTTGGACAGGGTGGAGGAGGTGGCCTGACCCCCAAAGCCAGGAGCCGGCCAGAGAGGAGCTAGGAAAGACTAGGGGAGAGGGACCCCAGGCCCTGAGGCTGCACGGTTGCGGGGTTGTCCTGGCACAGAGGCTGAAGGTGGGGCAAGGGCCTGATCCTAAAGCCCACCCTGATAGCCAGGGGTACTTGGGGACTGGAACCCCAGGCCCTGGGGCGTGCACGGTGGGGCGGAGGGGGGTGGTCCCTGGCACAAAGGTGGTGGGTGGGGCGCAAGCCTGACTTCGAAGTCCAGTGGGATATTGAGGGGGACCCCACGCCTTGGTGCAGGGAGATGGGGTTCGCCGGCACAAGGAAGCGGGCGTGGGGCAGGGGACCTGGATTGGGGGTGACCCCGATGGCGGGGGGGAACTGGGGAGCGGAACCTCGGGCCCGGGGGCGCACGAGGCAGGGACTGTCAGGCTCGGGGCGGGAAGACACACACCTGCCGCCGCGCCCGCACGTGCGGATGCGCCCGGGTTCCCGCCCGAGCGCCAGAGGGGGCGGGGCCTGGCCCACGTGCCCGCCCCCGGCCCCGCCCCGCGCGCCTGCGCCCTGCGGGCCGCCCATTGTTGGGCCGCGGCGTGACGTCGCGGGGGCGGGGTCGGGGCGGGGCCGCGGGAGGCGGCGGGAGGGAAGGAGCGTCCCGTGCCGCCGCCGCCTCGGCCTCCGAGGAGCCGGAGCCGCCGCCGCCGAGCCGCAGTCAGAGTCGCCGCCGCCCGGCCCGGCCCCGGCCAGGCCCCGAGCAGCCCCGCGCCGCCGCCGCCCGGCCCGCCCGGCCCCCCGCGCCCGCCCCCGCCGCTGGATGCAGGCGGCCGGCGGCCCAGCTCTCACAGGCGGAGGGCGGCGCGGGCGGCGGCGGCGGCGCGGGCGGCAGGAGCGCGGGCCCCAGCGCTAGCGCCCGCCATGCCCAGCTCGCTCGGCCAGCCCGACGGCGGCGGGGGCGGGGGCGGGGGCGCGGGCGGCGGCGGCGGCGCGGGGGCGGCGGGGGGGGACCCCAGCCCCGGACCCGCACCCGCGCCCCCGCCCGAGGGCGCCCAGGAGGCCGCGCCCGCGCCCCGGCCGCCGCCCGAGCCCGACGACGCGGCCGCCGCGCTGCGCCTGCCCCTGGACCAGCTGTCGGCGCTCGGGCTGGGGGGCGCGGACGACGAGGGGGCGGCCGGGGACGGCGCGGCGGCTGTGGGGGGCGCGGACGGCGGGACGGCTCCGGAGCCCGCGCCCCCCGACGGGCCCGAGGCCGGCGCGCCCGCGAGCCTGGCCCCCGCTGCGGCCGTGTCGGTGGCCCCCGCGTCGCTGCCGCTGCTGGACCCCGGCACGAGCCCCCCGCCGCCGCCCCGGCCGTCGCCCCCCGACGTGTTCGCGGGCTTCGCGCCCCACCCCGCGGCCCTGGGCCCCCCGACGCTGCTGGCCGAGCAGATGAGCGTGATCGGCAGCCGCAAGAAGAGCGTCAACATGACCGAGTGCGTCCCGGTGCCCAGCTCCGAGCACGTCGCCGAGATCGTGGGTCGCCAGGGTGAGTGGCCCCGGCCCGGGGGCTGTGTCCGGGGGGGGTCCCCGCCCGGGGAGGGGGTCGCCCGAGCCCAGCCCGCGCCGGACGCCCCGCGCCGGACACGCCCCGCGTGGGCTCTGGCCTCGGCGGCTGGCTCTGCGCCTTTGTCCTGCAGCGGCCGCGGGAGAAAGTTGGGCGCAGCCCGCGCTCCTCCCCTGCCCGCTCCGGTCCCGCCGCCGCCTTTGTCTGGGCCGCCTCCGGCCGGGAAAGGCTCCCGGGAGCCGCGCCGCACCCCAGGCCCTCGGCCGCCCAAAGGGGCACCCCAGAGAGGGGCCGGTGGGCGCCCCACACCCAGCACAGGCGCGGGGCGGGGCGGGGCACGCGCCGGTTTAGGGGTGGCCAAGGGGGGGCCGCCGGCGGGGCCGCGAGGAAAGGCTGACAGTACAAAGCGCTCGCGTCTGAGTCCCCAGCCTGGGGCCCTGACCGGGGTGGGGACGCGCCGGGCCGGAGGGGGTCCCTGCCCACTCTCCAGCCCGGAGTCGGGGATCTGGGGGCGGGCCTGTGGAAGGACCGGCTGTCAAAGCCACTTCTGGGGTGCAGCCCCGCGGCCCTTCTGGGCAGGCGGGCGGGCGGCAGGCCCCGGGCGTGGGGTCCGGCGGTGGCATCGTCGGAGCTTCCCTCTGGCCGCCCCATTGTTCTCTTTGTTAGAGAGCTAGGCTGAGATTGGCAGGGTGACATCAGGCCGGCCGCTGCTCATTGGCCCCCGAGCTGCGGGGCGGGCGGGCGGGTGGGTGGGTGGTGGGCAGTCCCTGGCCCAACACACACCCACCACCCCGTTGGCCGCCCACCTGCCCCCCTCAACTTTCTCCTGTCTTCCCGCCACCCCTCCCTGCTCCTGGCTCCCCGCTGACCGCCAGCGATCAGCCGGGTTCTAGAACTTGGGGTGGGGCCTTGGCGTGGCCGGAGGTGGGGCCACAGGACACTTGGGCTGGGGGTCCCCGCCTCCCCTCCACCATGGCCCCTCAGGAACCCGTGCTAGAGAAGGGTGTGGGGACTGGGATTGCAAGGTCACCTGTGGCCCTGGACTCAGGGGAGGACCACCAGGATGCCCTCCCCTCCGCCCATTCCCTAGTCCCAGGTTGGTGGGGCAGGACAGCCTCCTTTCTTGGCCGGTCATTTGTTCGGCTCAGGTGGGGATGCACAGAGGGTCAGGCACGGTGCTAGGCCCGGGAAGCAAACGCTGGAGTGGTGGGTGGGGAGGGACATTCTCAGCCCTGCAGGCTGCCCTCAGTGGGACCTCGGGCTGGAGGGCTTCCCTACCGTCCCGTTTATGCCTCCCCATTGAGGCCCTCCACCTGGCCTCCATGTCCCCTAACTGCACCAGGGCCTGGAATAGGACAGCTGCCCTGTGTGGAGTGCCCAGGGGCCTGTGGAGACAGATGTCCAAGCCCAGGCCTGGGGATCAAGTGCCCGAAGGCAGCAGGCTGAGCGGCCAGGTGGTGGAGGGTGTGGCTGTGTTGTGTGAATGCGCCTGTCCTGGCTCCTCTTGAGAGAGGCCGTGGCCACGCGTGAGCTGGCAGGAGTCAGGCCGAGCCGAGGGCGTGTGGGACCTGTGGCCTCAGGGTGGGAATTCTCTAGGGGCAGGTCCCTGGGAGATGAGCCCGCTTAACTGGGCCCTTGCTGGTGGTGGTCAGCAAGGTGGGCACTGGACACAGTGGGGGTGGGGTTAGAGTGGGCCCTGACTGCTGGCCCTGCCCAGATGACACCTCCTGTCTGGTGTGCATTCGTCACCTCTGTTGGGGTGAGGATTCTGGGGCAAGATGCTGATTTTATTTCTGTATTCGTTTGTATTTTTAAAGCTTCTTGTAGAGACATGTCTCACTCTGTTGCCCAGGCTGGTCTTGAACTCCTGGCCTCAAGCAATTCTCCCACATCAGCTTCCCTGAGTGTTGGGGTTACAGGCATGGGCCACCATGCTTGGACCCAAGTCGCTGGGTTTATTCCGTGCTCCGGGTCACACAGCGTAGCCACCCGTAAGTGGAGTGCAGGGTGCCAGGCATGTGACCGCGAATGCTGAGGCAGGGTGGTACTCTAGAACCATCTGTGGCTCCCAGCTTCTCCCAGCCACCCCGTTGTCAAGCATACCCTTCAGTGCCCTTTGTACCCCAGGCCTGCCCCTTCACTCCCCTTCCTCTCCACCCTGGGGTCTCTGAACTTCTCATCATTCTCTGTCAAACCCAAGCTCAGAGGCTACCCCTTCCCTGGAGGGCAGGAAGGTGCATCTGCCCGGCCTCCCCACCTAGACTGGAGTCACAGGCCTGGCACCAGCCCTGTCCCCGCAGCCACGTGCTGCTCTCTGAACCTCCGTTCTGTCGGTCCTTGAGTGGGTCCAAGTGTTTTCTGGGCAGACCGTGGCCATTCACACCCATCCCCCCACTGGAGGCTCCGGTTCCCTCATTTGCTAGATCTTCATTGAATGCCTGCCGTGTGTCGAGCCTGCACCAGACTGGACCTGCCCCATCTCACTGAGGCCCGTAATGTGCCTGCGGGGAGGTCCTGCAGCTCCTAGGCCACAGACGGGGAGGCAGAGACTGCAGGAGGTGAAGGGGAGGTAAAACCTGAGGGGCTGAGGCAGGAGGATCCCTTGAGCCCAGACGTTGAAACCAGCCTGGCCAACATGGCAAAACCCCGTCTCTATAAAAAAAATATAGGCCGGGCGCGGTGGCTCACGCCTGTAATCCCAGCACTTTGGGAGGCAGAGGTGGGTGAATCACGAGGTCAAGAGATCGAGACCATCCTGGTCAACATGGTGAAACCCCGTCTCTACTAAAAATACAAAAATTAGCTGGGCACGGTGGCGCGTGCCTGTAATCCCAGCTACTCAGGAGGCTGAGGCAGGAGAATTGCCTGAACCCAGGAGGCGGAGGTTGCGGTGAGCCGAGATCGCGCCATTGCACTCCAGCCTGGGTAACAAGCGCGAAACTCCGTCTCAAAAAAAATAAATAAATAAAAATTATCAGGCTTGGTGGCAGGCTCGTTTGGCCCCAGCTACTTAGGAGGCTGAGGCAGGAGGATCACTCGAGCCTGGGAGGTGGAGGCTGCAGTGAGTGTGATGACTGCACTCCAGCCTGGGCCACAGAGCAAGACCCTGTCTCCAAAACAAAACAAGTAGGCTGGGATTCAAACCCTCGTTTCTCTGCTGGGTCAGTGGAGAAAATTTCAGATGCTGAAGCTCAAGGGCTGGGGATGGGGCAGGGCAGCCTGGCTTTGGAGACAGGCAGAGTGGATCCCAGAGGACAGAGGACAGGCGTCTCCCTCCAGCCCGCCAGCAAAGGCCCTCTGGGGGACCTCAGGACCTGCTCCTGCTGAGACCCCAACACGTGCCCTCCTTTCTCACCCAACTTGCCGGGACCCTGTGTGGATCTGTGCTCCGTGGACCTTCCCCCCCAACTTGCCGGGACCCTGTGTGGATCTGTGCTCCGTGGACCTTCCCCCCCAACTTGCCGGGACCCTGGGTGGATCTGTGCTCCGTGGACCTCCCCCCTACAACGTGCCGGGACCCTGGGTGGATCTGTGCTCCGTGGACATTCCCCCCACAACTTGACGGGACCCTGGGTGGATCTGTGCTCCGTGGACCTCCCCCCACCCCCAACTTGCTGGGACCCTGGGTGGATCTGTGCTCCGTGGGCCTTCCCCCCCCAACTTGCCGGGACCCTGGGTGGATCTGTGCTCCGTGGACGTTCCCCCTACATGTTCCCAGGGACCGGAACCAGGGCAGGTCATGGTTGAATCTTCAGTAGCTCGCAGGGGCCTGCACACAGTCGGTGTTTGGTAATGAAGGAATGAATGAATGATGTTGAAGGCAGGGCTGGAGGCTGCACAGGGCTCCCTCTCCCTGCTGTTGGCGCAGGCTGAGGTTTGTGGCTTTAGACTGTCCCCTGCAGCTGGGGGACACCCCCGGCTCACTGTCTCCTCTCCTGGCCCAAACCCCAGAGGCTCCTCGCCTTCTCCCATCCCTGCAGGCCTCAGGTGTTTCTCTGGTGGGACCGTGCCTGGCTTTTCCTGTGCATACACCTCCACACGGCAGACCAAACAGTTCTTACCTTGGCAAGAGTCGGTGTTCCCCTCGTTCCCCGAGAGCTTTGTTCCTTTCTGTTTGCGACAGGGTCTTGCTCTTCTCGCCCAGGCTGGAGGGCAGTGGCTCAGGCTCGGCTCACTGCAGCCTCTGCCTCCTGGGTTCAAGCGATTCTCCCACCTCAGCCTCCCAAGTAGCAGGGACTGCAGGCTCGTGCCACACCGTGCCCAGGCCATTTTTGTATTTTTAGTAGAGACGGGGTTTCTCCATGTTGGCCAGGCTGGTCTCAAACTCCTGACCTCAGTGATCCGCCTGCCTCGGCCTCCCAAAGTGCTGGGATCACAGGCGTGAGCCGCCGCGCCCGGGAGTTGTTTTTTCTGTTTTGTTTTGTTTGAGACAGGATCTGGTTCTGTTGCTGCTCTGTGTGGAGTGCAGTGGTGCAGTCAGCTCACTGCAGCCTCTACCTGCGGGGCTCAGGTCATCCTCCCGCCTCCACCTCCCGACTAGCGGGGACCACGGTTGTGTGCCCATGATCGGCTAATTTTCTAAACAATTTATGTATATATATATATATAATTTTTTAATTTAATTTTTTTTTTTCTATTGGTAAAGACAGGGTTTCACCATGTTGGTCAGGCTGGTCTTGAACTCCCGACCTCAGGTGATCCACTGCGCCCGGCTGCCCAGCTAATTTTAAAAATTTTTGTAGAGGCTGGAGGTGGCGGCTCATCCCTGATATTCTAGCACTTTGGGAGGCTGAGATGGCAGGATCGGCAGGATTACCTGAGCTCAAGAGTTCAAGACCAGCCTGGGCAACATATGACCCTGTCTCTGCAGAAAGACTTTAAACAATAAGCCGGGTCTGGTGGCGCATAACTGTAGTCCCAGCTACTCAGGACGCTGAGGTGGGAGGATCGCTTAAGCCCGGAGGTCAAGGCGGCAGTGAGCTCTGATGGCATCACTGTACTCCAGCCTGGGTGACAGAGGGAGACACCTTCATAGAGACAGGGTCTTGCTGTGTAGGCCTGGCTGGTCTTGAACTCCTCGGCTCAAGCGATCCTCCTGCCTTGGCCTCCCAAAGTGCTCGGAGTGTATGTGGGAGTCACTGTGCCTGGCTTGGAAGGGGCTTTTGCTGTCCCTGTTTGTCAGCAGAGCCAGCTTCCTTTCTCCCCTGGGACTGCTCAGCTCCCATGGAGGCCCGTCTGGGACACTGCTGTCCACGTGGCCCGATGCCTGCTTAGGGGCGTGTGCTGGACGGAGTGTCGGCTGTGGGGCCTTGTCCTCGCCCCGTCCTGCTTCCAGAATTCTTCTCTTGCTGTTCCCTCAGCGACTCCCTGGGATTCACGTCCCCCTTCCTGCCGTGGCAAACCCGTCCAGCCTGTGGTGGCAGCCTCTGCTCCCACGCCAGGACGTGTGGTTTCATGGGTGAGCCCGTAGTGCACTGTCATCTGCAGCCGGGACCCCGGCCGGGTCGGATGAGTGACACCCCCTGGTGTGTGCTCTGCGTGGGCCCCGAGGCCCTGCCTGGGCATGGGAAGACTTGGCTGCTGTGGGTCGGGGTGTGGGGCAGCTCAGGGCCAGCCGCTGGGGCGGTCACTCCAATCCCCAGGCATCCCAAGCCCTCGGAGTTGGATTCCTGGGGGGCATCGTGCAGGAATCTGCATTTCCGTGCCTGTCAACCTTTGGTGTCCTCCAGGGCCCCCCTCGGGCTTCCTGTCACTCTGGCCTCGCTGTGTCATTTCCACTGGGTGAGGTCACTCCTGAAGCCCTGATTCCTTGGCCTCTTTGGGTCTTGATGTGGGTGGGGTGTGGGGGCCAGCACGTGTTGAAGCGGAGGCAGCGTCTGTGAACTGGGCTCCAGTTCTGTCTCTGGGATCCTAGAAGCCTTGCAGATGTGAGTCTCCACCCCGAGCCACCCCCGGGGATAGGACAGGGCGGGGTAAGGGGAGCCGGAGGCTGCCAGCACCCCCCCACCCGCCCTGACACACCCGGGGCTCCCGGCACCATCCTGGTTTCTGCCCAGTCACAGGCCCCCTTCCCCACAGTCCTTGTCCAGCTCCCTTCCCGCCAGCCCCATCTCCCACATTTGTCATGTCATCCAGACCAGACTTTCTGTGACCACAGCCTGCGAGCTCATCGGTGGCCACATCGGGGCAGCCTCTCCCACGTGTGACCCTCTGGGGACCCGGGTCACCTCCCAGATCAGCAAGGGAGGACCCCCGTGCTGCACCATGCCCTCACCGGCGGGCTCTGCTCTCTGCTGGATCTGTGCACTGGGAAGAGGCTCACTTCCTGCCTGTGGGCAGGGCAGCGGAGCCCCCATCTGTGGGTGCCACCTTCTGCCCCAGCCTTGCTGGGTCCCCCTCTCTCTGTGCCTCAGTTTCCCCTCCTCAAGGAGGATCTGTCTAAAGCAAACACTGGGCTGTAGTGAGATCTGCCAGGGTGGCTGCCGGGGCCACCTGTGTGGCCATGACCCGCTGAGGCTCGCTCCGAGCCAGTTACCTTTCCCCTTTCACAGTGAAGAAAAAGGCATAGCAAGGTCCCCCGAGGGCCCAGGGACTCCCCAGCCTGGACCCCTGGCCTCAGGGAGGCAGGTGGCCGGGCGCGGTGGCTCATACCTGTAATCCCAGCACTGTGGGAGGCAGAGGCGGGTGGATCACCTGAGGTCAGGAGTTCGAGACCACCCTGGCTAACACGGTGAAATCCTGTCTCCACTAAAAATACAAAAGTTAACCAAGCTTGGTGGCGCACACCTGTAATCCCAGCTACTTGGGAGGCTGAGGCAGGGGAATCGCTTGAACCCGGGAGGCGAAGGTTGCAGTGAGCCGAGACTGTGCCCCTGCACTCCTGCCTGGGTGACCGAGCGAGACTCCATCCCCCACCAAAATAAAAAGGCATGTGAGGAGAGAGTCAGAAGTGCAGGCCCAACCCAGTGCCATCAAGGTTGGCTTCCTGGAGGAGGGAGACACGGACTGCATAGAGAAATGGAGGGGACTGGGTGTGATGGAGAACACAATGCTTTGGATGGGAAGGGCAGGTGTGGAGGCAGCGCAGCTGGGGTGGGAGAACTGCTGTCCCCCTGTGAGTGGGTGTGCCCCCCGCCCCCCCCCCCCGCTTCCTCCCAGGGCCCTCCCTGCTTTGAAACCAGTCTGGGCGACATGGGGAGAACCCATCTCTATAAAAAAAATTAAAATAGGCCGGGCGCAGGGGCTCACGCCTGTAATCCCAGCACTCTGGGAGGCCGAGATGGGTGCATCACCTGAGGTCAGGAGTTTGAGACCAGACTGGCCAACATGGCGAAACCTCGTCTCTACTAAAAATACAAAAAATTCGCTGGGTTTGGCGGTGGACGCCTGTAATCCCAGCTACTCGGGAGGCTGAGGCAAGATAATTTTTTGAACGGAGAGATGGAGGTTGCAGTGAGCCAAGCTTGCGCCACTGCACTCCAGCCTGGGCAAGAGTGAAACTCCGTCTCAATATATAATTAATAAATAAGCTGGGCATGGTGGTGCCCACCTTGGGAGGATCACTTGAGCCCAGGAGTTCAAGGCTGCAGTGACCTATGATCACACCGCTGCACTCTAGCCTGGTGACAGAGTGAGTGAGACTATGTCAAAAAGAAAAAAAAAACCTTTGAGGCCCCAGAGGAGGGGGGAGGGATATCTAGGACCCCGAGAAGGCCACATCTGGTCAGTGGCTGCCTAGAGAATCGGTGGAGAGCCCTGCCCCCCACACTGACACTCATGCCCTCCACCAGGTCAGACCCCAACCCAGCCACCAAGGAGGAAGCCACAGCAGACCCCTCAGGGACCCACCGCAGCCTGCCGAGGCATCTGGAGTCCGGGTGTGGCACAGGCAGTCCAGCTGAGACCTCCCCTTAGCCTGGGGTCTGCGTAGTCTCGGGAGGGTCATTTGGCCAGAAGGAAACCGCAGGCACTTTCCACCGTCTGAGTCTCGGCTTCCCCTGCTGCTGGGCCGGGAGGTGGTGTCGGAGGCTCTGCGTCTATTCCCTGGGCTGACGCACCGGGGGTCGGAAACACCGGAAATTCTCCTCTCTCATTTCTGAAAGATGAAACTTCCAAGTCAAGGTGTGGGCAGGGAGGGCTTCATGGTGGGGGGGGTGGGGGGGCGCCTTCAGTTTCTGGGGGCTGTGGCCAGTCCTTGGCACTCCTTGACTTGAAGAGCTACCACTGCAGTCTCTGTCTCTGTCCCCACAAGGCCAGCTCCTCTGTGTGTCTGTGTCTCCCCTTCTTTTTTCTGAGATAAGGTCTTGCTCTGCCACTCAGGCTGGAGTGCAGTGGTGTGATCGGAGCTCGCTGCAGCCTCCACCCCCAGGCTCAGGTGATCCTCCCAAGTAAAGATGACAGCTGTGCACCACCGCACTGGCTAAGTTTCCGTTGCCGTTTTTAGTAGAGACAGGGTCCTGCTGTGTTGCCCAGGCTGGTCGCAAACTCTGATCCTCATGCCTCAGCCTCTCAAAGTACTAGGAATAAGGGTGTGGGCCCCTGTGGCTTTTTGAGAGAGTCTTGCTGTGTTGCCCAGGCTGGAGTACAGTGGTGCAGTCTCAGCTCACTGCAACCTCCACTTCCCGGGTTCAAATGATTCTCTTTCCTCAGCCTCCCAAGTAGCTGGGGCTACAGGCACCTACCACCAAGCCTGGCTAATTTTTGTATTTTTGCTAGAGATGGGGTTTCACCATGCTGGCCAGGCTGGTCTCGAACTCCTGACCTCAGGTGATCTACCTGCCTCGGCTTGTGATTACGGGCGTGAGCCCCCGCTCTGGCCTGCGGCTCTTCTGACGAGGATTTGCAGCCCACCCTAATCCAGTGTGACCTCATCTCAGCTCCTTACATCTGCAGAGACCCTGTTTACAGATAGGGTCACTTAGTCTGTCCCTGCTCATGGTTCTGGAGGATGGGAAGCCCAAGATCGGGCACCGTCAGGTGCTGTGTCTGGTGCAGAGCTCGTGTGTCCTGGCCTGGCAGAAGGGGCCCGGAAGCTAGCTGGAGCCTCTGCCATAAGAGCCCGAATCTCATTATGAGGGTGGTGGCCCCACCACACCGCAGAGTCCCCCCACTTTTCTTCCGACGGAATCTTGCTTTGTCCTTCAGGCTGGAGTGCAGTGGCGCGCTGTCCGCTCACTGCAACTTTCGTCTCCTGGGTTTGAGATTCTCGTGTCTCAGCCTCACAAGTCCCTGGGACTAGTGGTGCCTGCTCATTACCCACGCCCGGCTAAGTTTTTATACTTTTAGCAGAGATGGGGTTTCACCATGTTGGCCAGGCTTGCCTCAAACTTTTGACCTCAAGTGGTCTTCCTCCTCCTCTCAAAGTGCTGGGATGATGGGTGAGGCGTGGCGCCCAGCTGAGCTACCCGTTAATACTATCGGTACTGGGTGTTAGCGTCCAGCTTATGAGCTTGGGAACGTTCACACTCCATCCGTGACGCCCTGCGGTTCCAGGTGTACGTAACTGACGGGCACACCTTTCGGCCTAAAACCGTCCCCTTGCCGCCTGCTTTTATGCCGAACCCCAGAGCCCAGAGGGAGAGCTGAGGCTCAGGGAAGAAGGGACGTGAAGTGTCTGAGGATGACGTGGTGTTGGGCACAGGCTGGGAGGTAGGGGCCCCCACTGGCCCTGCACCCCCAGAGGGCTGAGCCGCGCAGGGCGCTGGGGTCACCCTGTCTCTCTCTCCCCCTTCCCCTCCCCCGCAGGTTGTAAGATCAAGGCCCTGCGGGCCAAGACAAACACCTACATCAAGACCCCTGTGCGGGGCGAGGAGCCGGTCTTCATCGTGACAGGCCGGAAGGAGGACGTGGAGATGGCCAAACGTGAGATCCTGTCGGCGGCCGAGCACTTCTCCATCATCCGCGCGACGCGCAGCAAGGCCGGGGGTCTGCCCGGCTCTGCCCAGGGCCCGCCCAACCTCCCGGGACAGACCACCATCCAGGTGCGCGTGCCCTACCGGGTCGTGGGGCTGGTCGTGGGGCCCAAGGGCGCCACCATCAAGCGCATCCAGCAGCGGACGCACACCTACATCGTGACGCCCGGCCGCGACAAGGAGCCCGTGTTCGCGGTCACCGGGATGCCCGAGAACGTGGACCGCGGCACGCGAGGAGATCGAGGCTCACATCACGCTGCGCACCGGCGCCTTCACCGATGCGGGCCCCGACAGCGACTTCCACGCCAACGGCACCGACGTCTGCCTGGACCTGCTCGGGGCGGCCGCCAGCCTCTGGGCCAAGACCCCCAACCCCGGACGACGGCCCCCCACGGCCACTGCCGGCCTCCGCGGGGACACGGCCCTGGGCGCCCCCGAGGCCTTCTACGCGGGCAGCCGCGGGGGTCCCCCCGTCCCGGACCCGGGCCCCGCCAGCCCCTACAGCGGCTCCAGCAACCCCGGCTTCGCCTTCGGTGCGGAGGATGCAGGCGCCGCGGTGGGGACCGCCGCCCCCGAGGACTGCGACTTTGGCTTCGACTTCCTGGCGCTGGACCTGACCGTGCCCGCCGCAGCCACCATCTGGGCGCCCTTCGAGC